CAACGCTGACGAGACTGAGTGAGGAGCAGGACAGGACATCTTGGCTTTGTTATAATTCCCTCTTGAAATGGGATTATATTAGAGAAATGCCGGAGCAATTTTGTTCTTGGTAGCAAAGAAAAGGCTGGCAAAGGCACTCTCCTCATCTCTACAGCTAGCCCCATGCCACCAGCTTTTGTGATTCTCAGCACCCTTGCCCAAGTGTGTTGTTCTTGCTTGGACCAACTTCTTAGCCACTGCCTCATTTAGCAAATTCTGTTTTTCAGCGCTTCCCTCCCTCAATAAGCCATGGCAAGTTATTTCCTTTATTTAAAAAAAAGTTTGACCTGTAGGCATCAATTTAGGTTACAATTTTTATTTACCGTCTGCAGCCACATGAGCGTCCACCCAAATGTCCTGAAGACGGGAGCACACAGAGGTATTTTGTGTGCGGGTAGCAAAAGTTAAATGACAGCGAGTGTTCTTTATTAGTAATCGGCCCTCCAGTCTTGCAAATGGCAAGGGGGGGCTCAAGTGCCAAGTGAAGGAAGTTGCCACGTGTGGGCAGAGATACCTGCCCACTGCCGGCAGCACAGCCAAACACTTGCAGTTTCCAAATAACCAGCCATGGGGGCAGCATGCTTCAGCAAGTAAGGAAGAGATCGCACTACCCTCGGCAGAAGACTCATCCAGCTGGAACAATCGGTTCATTTGCCAGGGTTCAAAAAGTGGTTCTTACCTGAAGAGAACAATTGAAAATGCTAGGGGACAGAGCAAAAAAGGAGAACGCAACTCTAATCTAATCTGAAAAGAACAAAACGTGATTTCCAGAAGAGCCCTGTTGGCTCACGAGAACATCTTCATCTTCTCTGGGTGCTCTACACCATTCCAACCAGCCAGCTCCCAAAGTGGAGTGAGGGGGCAGACTGGAGGCATCTTAGTCTCCAAAGGGACAGAACACTTATCCCTCAGTGTCTGGCAAACTCTCAGAAGAAAACTCAAGAGTAGTGTGAAAAAAAAAAACAAACCACTCTACTCTTTCCTACAAAACAGAAGATAGAGAAGTTTTTGACTGAAGTTAGAATCTGGGTTGTGCCAGGAGTCGCTGCTCTCTGGAGAAGGGCACTCCACACAGTCATTTCAATCGGGATCTTCAAACCTTGGCTGAAAGTTAAGTTTTAGTTTTTAGGACAAATCACATTTGTAAGATTTTTGCTCCTGGCCAAGACTGACTTTTCATGCTAGAATCACTTGTAATAGACATGTCTAGTCTTGCCCACGGCAAGGCCAGGCAGGGGATGAACTGGAACGCTCCAACCAAGACAAAGAGATATAGGTTTGGGATGTGAGATGTGATTTTTATCTACAGTGGCAGCTAGAAGTGACACTATGAGACCCATCTGGAAGAAGGAAGGGAAAAACAGGAAATGAAAGATGGAGTTCGCTCACTGACTCTCTGCCCTCACCTGCACCTTCCTAGGAGAGACCCTGTAACTTTGTTGCAAACACTTGCTGTTGTGTCCGGTATTATAGTCAACATATACTTTTTATTTCATAGGGTATGCCCATTATTTGATGAGAGTTTGATTGGTGACCTACTCTTAACACGGGTTCTTTAGAGTGCTTAACTTAAGGAGTTCAAATCTGTAGAAACAAGCTGAAATATGACTAGAGTTGTAGAAGTTTCTTTGCAAGGGCAGCGAGGTCCTCGGTTAGCAGGCGGTAATGACTATCCCCAACCCCACCCCCCAGTGACTTTCTGAATGAACTTAGCGACTCTTAACATTCTGATGAATACTGAACTTCATGCTTTACACAAATTTCCCAGTATTTCTCCAACAATTATCCACACTAGACGAGAAGACAGTCTAGAGGTGGTAAAGCGACTGCTCTAAGTTCAGGGGTGATTAGAAAGTTCTGGGTCCATGTTCCTAAGCATCACACATTCCTTCCCTTCAGGCCTACAGAGAGAGCAGCCTCTGTGTCTTCTATGCCACATTAGCTCTTCAATGCTTTCAGACACACATTCACTTTGTTTACCCGCTCCCCGTGCTCACTAGCGCCCTTGGAGGGGTTAAATGCTATGATTGCTTTGTTCTCAATTTGTAAAGCATCATTACTTAGCCAAGGTAATCAGAATTAATGGCAAAAGTGATAGTCCAGACATCATCTTGTCACATCAAAATTAGGCCAACCCAGAGAGGGGCTTAGTCAGCTGCTTTAGACAAAGAACACAGGGCATTGGTAGTGAAAACACCATTACTGCCTGCCTGATCCATGGCCAATTCCACAGCCCCACAACATAGGAGAGTGTCACCCTCCCTGACTTTTTTTTTTTGTTTAGAGCACTACTGGGGAGGTTGAGGCAGAAGGACCAACAAGTTCGAAGCCAACCTGGTCAACTTAGAACTTGTCTCAAAATAAAAAGTTAAAAGCGGGCGAGTGTCTTTGGATTTCTATTGCTATGAAGAGACACCATGACCACAGCAGCTCTTACAAAGGAAAACATTTAGTCGTGGAGGCTCACTTACAGTTCAGAAGTTTAGTCCATTATCATCATGGTGGGAAGCAAGGCAGCACACAGACAGGCATGGTGCTAGAGAAGGAACTGAGGGTTCTACATAGTGACTCACAGGCTACAGGAAGTGGTCCGCCTCACTGGGTGTGGCTTGAGCATAGATGAGACTTTAGAGTCTGCCATCACACTTCCTCCAACAAGGCCACACCCCCTAACAGTGCCATTCCCTTTGGGGGCCATTTTCTTTCAAACAGTCACAGCTGGGAACATAGCCCCAAAGTAGAATGCTGGCCTGGCATATTTAAGGTCTTGTTCTAACCTGTTTCCTTTTGTGATAAATACCATGACCAAAATATGTTGGCTAATATTGGCTATCCACTTGACATACTTGGGAAGAAGGATCCTCAGCTGAGAAACTGCCTCCACCACCCTGCTCTGTAGGCATGTTTGTGGGACACTTTCTTGACTGCTCATTGATGGAGGAGGGTTGGGCCCACTATGGGAGGTGCCATCCCTAGGCAGGGGGCTGGGCTGTACATGGCCTCTACTTTAGTGTTTGCTCCAAGTTTCTGCCTTAGCATCCTTCAATGTTGGACCGCAACCTGAGAGATGAAATAAATCTGAACCTCCCTGAATTGCTTTTGGTGATGGTATATGACCAAATTAGGACAGGCCTTAAACACACAGGCCCCAGGCTCAACCTCTGGGATATATCCCTAGCCTTTGAGACAAGTTTTAAGTTGAGCACGTTGACCTTGAACTTGGTGGTCCTTCTGCCTCAGCCTTGAGAGTAAATGAGAGGCCTACGTCACCAGGCCTGGCTTATTACCTCCACTTTATAGTTAAAGCAGTTAGTTCAGAAAGGTTACAAAGGCAATCTGGCTCCTAGGTTTTCATGGAACTCGGAAGAAAGCTTATCCTTATCATTATTGGGTTGACCCAGCAGCCATGCTAAGATGAAATATTAAGAAAATGAAGCATAGTGTCTGATTTGTAACTAGCAGCCAGGCAGCAACTCCAGATTATTCTGTGACTGGGGAAGTCACGCGGGAACCCACACCCCACAGCAAGCTCTCATGCAGAGCTGCAAACCATGCCAACACAAAACCCCTCTTCTCTGTTATTTTGTCATTCTCTAATCTTGATTTCATGATGGTGTCAATCAAAACTGGCTGCTAAACGGAGCTTCATACTTACAAAAACGTGGAAGCTCCTGGAGAGCCCTAGTGTCCCAGAGTCATTGCTATGCTCTTTCTTGGTTAGCTGGCTTGGTTCTTTTCTCTGCGCTACTTATAGGAACAAGGGCTTTCTGGGAACTGGGATGTGGAAAATGAGATCAAGCAGGGAACTGAGACATTAAAGAATGGCATCTGACACTTTGTGGTAAACTGCTAGGAAACATACAGTCGCCATGTTAGTGTCTGACTATGTGCCCATCACCTGCCTATTACTGTACCAAATATACTACACAACTGTGCACCATAAAGTTGTTTAGAACAGCCATAAAAATTGTATTTTGAAAGTACGTGGTACGTGTGGTGTGTGTGCGTGTATATATCTGTGACTGTATGTATGTGTCTGTGTTATGTGTGTGTGTGCGAGTGTGTGTGCGCGCGCGAGTGTGCGTGTGTGTTCACACACATGCATGCCTGTTGTACAGTGAGTGTAGATGCTGATGAAGGCCAGAAGAGGGTGTTGGATCTCACAGAGCTGGAGTTTCAGTGAGGGTGGGCCAACACAGCAGGTGATGGGCACATCTGGTTAGTATTCCACAAAGTCACACTCATATGGCAACTGTGTGTTTTCTAGCAGTCTGCCACAAAGTGTTAGATGCCTTCTTTTTTTTTTTTTTTTTTTTTTTTGGTCTCGGTTCCCTAATCTTATTTTAAACATCTGAGTTCCCAGAAAGCCCTTGTTCCTATGAGTAACATAGAGACGAGAACCAAACCTACCTGAGTTCTCTGTAACAGCCATATGCACTCTCAACCTCTGGGTCATCTCTCCAGCCCTCGAATAGCTCTTACTAATGCTTTATTTTATAATTTATAGAGACGTTCTTAGAACAGTAGAAAGAAATATCTCTTCCCAGTTACTAATGTTTTCCTCACATGCTCTGCCATACATTGTTTGTCCTGAACCCTGTTTTAGATGGTACTTTGTTGAAATCTTGTTCCTTTATCCATAAACACTTCAGAGTACATTTCCTAAGAATACAGTTTTACAGGTAAGGGAATACTATTTTTCCCAGTCAAAATTCAAAATTAGCACATAATTGGTCATAATAAATTAAAAATGGGCAACTATGAAGAAAAAGAAAACTGCATTCTTCTTCATAAGAGAAAATACTTAGGGCTGTTTTGTTACTGTTTTGTTATTTCTAGACCTTGCCATAGTTCCTGGCACATAGCGGATACTCACAAAAACCTACCAGCTTTATAAAGCAAAACTTCCTGTGACATTTCAGAATGTGAAGTTTCCTAAACTAGATTAAAAGCAAAACAGCAACAGAGGCAACCATTTCTTTATTACCTGTAATTTGTAATTTGCATGGTACAAAGACGTGAAAAGCTTCAGGTACAAAGGACTTGGGGGGTTCACTTCTTAAAGCTTTCACTTTTAGCACTGTTTCTAATTGTGTGCGCACACACTTGAGTACAGGTCCCTCAGAATCCAGTAGGCAGCGTTGGAGCCCTTGAGTTGGAGCTGCCGAAGGTTGTGAGCCACTCAACAGGGATGCTGGGAACCAAATTCAGACCCTGAAAGAGCACGCTATGTCCTCAGTCACACAGATGCATCTCCAGATCCAGGGAATTCCTTTTCACAGAAAACAGTGAACAGATCACAGTCTAAACAGTGCAACTTTGTCTCCCTCAGGGCCTTCTTCATAAGTAGCGATTTCTGATGTACTCTCTGTACATGGCAGTGTCTTCTTTACCAAGGGGCTGCATGATACCATGGCTGGCCTGGATATGGGCTTGGAAGATCTCTGTAGACTTTCTGTCTACTCTTGGGGGCTGAACTTCATAGATGTTGTCTTGCGAGAAAGCTGAAATGGGAGTTCTGTAAGAGATAAAAATGAAGGCTGCATTAAAGGAAACCAAAAGGACTAGAAGGAGTCAGCTGTGAGGACCAGCGCAGTTGCTACTGGCCGCTTCTTCTCTGGCTGCAGACTGCTGGATAAACACTGCCTGGGAAGCCATCCCTGATGCCCTGGCAGGGCAGAATCCCTGTTTCTGGTCCTTAGAGAATGACAGCTTTATAGTTTTGTGTCCATCTAGCTCCCACTGGAAGCATCTTCAGACGGTGGCTATACCTACATTTTGTTCTTTGTCTTTGAAGGCACTTGGCTTTGCAATAGAAGAACAAGTAGGAATCAATGAAGTAGGAGATAGTCATAACTCTGACCAATGAGTTTACATCAGAAGAATGTTTGCTCATTGAACAAATAGTCAGTAAATAGGAACCACGGCTAACAATTACTTATGTGTAGTTTCTTACTTGAAATTCTGAAATCCTAAAAAACTTTGACAATCAAAAGCGACACTGCCTGGAACATCCAGCCCAACTACAATGCACTGTTTTCCCTTCCCCACGCTACTTCATGCCAATGTTAATGTGTCATACATACATCAGACATGGCCTCAGATCTCACTGGGGATGTTAGTATGAAGTGGCTGTATCTTGGTGTGCTAACATTCACTTCTCAGTTCCACAACACATCTGGCCTCAGGCTTTCAGGCGAGGAACTGTGGATCTGTGACAGACAGTTCCTTCCTTTCTGAGGGACTCAAGAATCCTCTATTCAAAACGCCCCTCTGTTCTCACCCACACAGCCTACTACAGTGCCTGGAACCTCGATCCATTCCTTGAGGAAGGCACCATCTCTAGAACGGCCTCGTCAAAATTCATGGTGGCGGTGGCTGACACACCCTCGACTTCCAGCAGTGTGAACGGCCACTAGGTACTGCACACTTAGCCAGTCAACTAACAAGTCAGAAGTGACACAGAGGACACACGTGTGAGGGAAGTGTGCTGCTCATGTGTGCTCAGAAGGTAAAAGAGAAGCCAGTGGCCAGAAGGGACAGGAAACTAGACACAGTGAAGGACAAGGAGAAGCAACCACACACTTCATCACTTGGTCATCTTTCAAGAAGGTTCTATATGCTCTGGTAACAAAGACTGGGGACTCAGCCTTGCTCCGGAGGAGTCCCAGGCACCCTGATGCTCACTATTTGCTTAGCTGAACTCAGGAGCTAGGGGAGGGGTGTATGATCAGCAGAATGGACCTCAGAGGCACCTGGAATGTGAGTTGTCTGCTGGAATCCGGGTGGCACAGTAACATGAAGGAAAAGAACAACCATTCAAGAGTTCGGTCACACCCCTGAACCTATGTTCATAGGAAGTGCGGCCCTTAAATGTGGGTTTTCCTTACTCCTCTCAAATGCCATTAAGGTAGAGCCTGGGGAGATGACTCAGCAGCCAGTCTGCTGGCCCTGCAAGTAAGAGGACCAGAGCTTAGATCCCTAGAACTCACATAAATGCCAGGAGGGCATGGAGGTTGCTCACAGTTCAAGCTTTGGAAGGCAGAGACGGGATCCCCAGAGCAAGCTGGCTGGCTGGACTAGCTGGAGCAGTGAGCTCTGGTTTTGGCTGAGAGATTCTGCCTCAAAGAATAAAGTTGGAGAGTGAAGGAAGATTCCTGATATCAACCTCAGGCTTCCAGACACACGTGCACATGTACATGCATACCTGCATACACACATGAGACAACATACATGGAAACATGCATATACATAAGCTTATATATGAAAAGAAGAAAGGAAGGAGAGGGGGGAGGAAAGGAGAGAGACAGACAGTCAGACAGACAGAGACAGATGTTTGTACATCTGGAATGACTAGACACTTCCAGTTTTATTTCAATGAGATGTCCTATAATCTCTACCATTACAGGATGGTGTGTGTTATAATCAAAGGCAAATTTCAGTGAGACCCCCTTGATGTCTTCTCTCTCTCTCTCTCTCTCTCTCTCTCTCTCTCTGTGTGTGTGTGTGTGTGTGTCTCTCTCTCTGTCTCTCTCTCTCTCTGTCTCTCTCTGTCTCTCTCTGTCTCTCTCTGTCTCTCTCTCTCTCTCTCTCTCTCACACACACACACACACACACACACTCCACAAACACATGACAGAGAGAGAATGAAAGGGTTAAGGGAGGGATGGGAGGTGGGGGAAAGGAAGGAAAGGCCAGGTAAAAGGATCCCGAGATGGCTAGCTCTCATCACATGCCAGTGGATAGGCTCTGTTTCAAAATATAGCCACGGCAGTACTGAGTGTCTGTGTTTAACACATCATTATGGTGGATGACTGAGATACTATATGAAGCTAGTCACAATTTTACCTTAGAAAATTACAGGAATTCTATAGTTAATTTAATTCCAGAGGAACAGTTAGGAATCTTTAATGGTTGGTAATATTCAGGGACAAACCATTTTCACTAGACCTGTTAACAGAGTGCTTCCAATTGTTTTCAGAGATTACCACCAAGTTAGCAAGCACAGCACCTCCTGGACTCCATGCTCAACGTACTACCTGTACTGCTCCAGCGCCAGCTCCTTCTCAGAGCTCTTACATGCCCACCATCTTACCTGGTCCACTCAGGAGGGAGGAAGCACAGGCTTTACAGCCTCTCGTACTCAGATGAGCTGTCTGTAAAGCTGAACTGATGGCCCCCATTTTCTCTTTGGATCTTGACCTCTGCATGGAACCTCATGTTGTGAGATTCCTGGCAAGCATCATAGCAGACATCCAACATGCAGTGATTGATCATCCCACTTCATCCCAGAAGGCGACTTCTGGGAACTAAAACCTCATGCTTAGCCGGGGACGTGACCCTGCTGTCCTGCTGTCCCGGTGGTAGCTGGCCAGGGCAGCCGCAAATGGGACCACACACTTTCCACCCAATGCCTTTGATTTCCTATTAAGAAATAAAGTGGGTGTCCTTGCTTCGCTTCTCAGAACCAGATTCACTGAAAGCAGAGCCACAGAAAATGATGACAAACTCGTAAATAGGAAATGCCACACACTGGCTGATACGGAATGGCAGGCGGGCTTAGGATTTCAACACAACATCCAGGGGGTGATACGAAGCCTACATCAGATGATAAAACGGCAATGCTGAAATATGTACTGCTGCATTTGGGTCATAAGAAAGCTCAGGACCCCACACTGCTGGAGTAACAGCAAGAGAGCAGGAAGACCCAGTCACAGGGAGCCCCTCAGAGACCTCAGTTGTGGTTCTCAGGTGTGGCCGTGCCAGCCAGCCAGCCAGCCAGCCAGCCAGCCAGCCAGCCAGCCAGCAGCAGCAGCAGCACTGGGGACCTCACCAGAACTACAGATGCTTGGCTCCTACACCAGACCTACTCCTGCAAGAGTGGCTGAGGGTGAGGCAGAGAAACAGCGCTCCAGTGAGCCTCCCGGATGACTCAGACACATGCTAAGCTCGGCAGCTTCTGGTCTAGCATGGCTGCTATCAGTTATACAGACGAGAGAAGCAGAATGCGAAGTAAGATCTTATTTAAATTTTTACGATGATGGGAATTGAACTCAGGGCCTTGGATATTGTAGGCACACATACTACTGCTGAGTCATACTCCAATTACTCAAAATTCTTTTCCTAAAGACAGGTCTTACTATGTCATCCAGGCTAATTGCAGACTCACAATCCTACTGCCTCAGATGTCTGAATACGAGAATTACAGCGGTGCACCACTATGTCTGGCTCCAGCTGTTTTCTTAAAGATCTTATCTCACATCTTAGGCTATCTTTGAACTCCTGATCCTTCTGCCTCTGCATTCCAACTGCTAGGAGAAATGTGTATTTTAAAACAAGAATGAACTTTCTTTCTCTTTTTCCTTCCCTTTCCTTCCCTTTCTTTTCCTTTCCTTTCCTTTCCTTTCCTTTCCTTTCCTTTCCTTTCCTTTCCTTTCCTTTCCTTTCCTTTCCTTTCCTTTCCCTTCCTTTCCCTTCCTTTCCCTTCCTTTCCCTTCCTCTCCTCTCCTCTCCTCTCCTCTCCTCCCCTCCCCTCCCCGCCCCTCCCCTCCTCTCCCCTCCCCTCCCCTCCCTTTCCTTCCTTCCTTCCCTCCCTTCTTCCTATTTCCCCCCCACCTCTCTCGATAGGGTTTCTCTGTGTAGCCCTGGCTGTCCTGAAACTCACTTTATAGACCTGGCTGGCCTTGAGCTCACAGAGATCCACCTATCTTTGCCTCCCAAGTGCTGAGATTAAGAGCATACACCACCGCTGTCCGGCACATGCACTCTCTTTTAAATGACAGAATACCACTAACCTTACACTGGAGGGAACAGTTTAAGGTTTAGTTATAAAGGTATGAGCAGCAAAATTAGATTCACCTCTTATTTTCTAATGAGGAGACTTTTTCTTTTTTCCTCCCTATAGACTTCTGCATTTCTGAGGTAGGAATGAAAACAGCATCCATGACCTCACAAGAGGCTGCTGGAGAGAGAAGGGGTGGAGTCAGACACCCCCACTGCAAGACAGTCTCTCTTAGACTGATGCCATCTCTTTCCAGATTTAAAAACTACACACGGTAGAAACTGAGAAAGTGTTTTCTTTTGTGCATTGCAGTAGAGAGACCTAGCTTATTATTGTACTTATATTACAAAAATATAAATAAACAAAACCGTCACACCCCCCCCAAAACCTCACATTTGCCTCCTGGCCACAAACAGAAGAAATATATTTTTAAGCTTCTCACAGCCTCAAAGGCAGAAAACCTATTGCCCCTCATTCAAATGCCAGTCATATTTCTGGGCATAAAACATGATAATTACATTACAGACTCATTTCTTTTTATCTATACAACCCAGTTCCATCTTGTCAGTGTGTTCCATACTTCCCCCTCAGGGAATGCTGTGGTCTTATTAGGATAATATATTTACCAATTCATTTACAGACTGCTTAACACGTATCGTTTGGCGCCTCAAACGTTGAGCACTGATGACATTCAGCCTTAAGTGCTGCTTCTGCTCACAGAAGAGAAGACATTCTAG